CATTTAAACTGCTAAACCAATTTTTTCCTTTTATTCTTTCAAGAATGTAATCCTTTCTTGGTAATTTATAACTATTTCAATAGTTGCTTCATTTAGTTTTTTATAGTTTATCACCATTCTCATTTTTCCTCGTTTTATCTCATTATTATTTTCTACGTAGAAAGCTGGAGCCGAGTGTGGACTCGTACTTTCTCGTATAATACCTTTATCTAGTAGTTCCTTGCATTCTTTGGTGAATTCTTCTACATCTCTGTGAGTATATTGCATTTTATTTGGTACATTGATTTCATCTTCGAGGTTTTTTAGTTTTATTACTATTAATTCTTCATTTGTATTTTTTATATCTAATGGGTTATCGCAACATATTTCATCCAGTTTCTGTTCAATATGAGTCATACTTATAAATGTTAGTTTGTTTTTTTAAATCTTCTATAATAGATTTTATTATTTCATTTTTTGTTATTATTTTTGTTGTAACTAATTCTGATTTTTGGTTTTCAATTTCAGGTGCTTTTATACTAATCGTTTTTATTCTCTGTATCAATTGTTGATATAATTTTAGGAAATTATTTCCTATAATTATATCGAATCCAAAATCATGCTGATATATTATTTTTGCTAGAAATATTTTAGTCTCAATAATTATTGATACGTGTTGAGCTACATACCAGATTTCATGGGCTGATTTATCAGCCACAACTATCCTAGTGGTTTTTCTAATCGTATCCATTTTTTGATGATATTTCTTTTAGCAAAACATAGAGTTGCTCCGGTGTCTATGTATACTAATAGTTTTTTCTTGGGAAAATGACATTTTCCTACACCAACTTTGCAAAATGTGACATTTTCCTACACGAATTTTTAATTTGACAAAAAACTACACCAAATTATCAAATGTGCCAAATTGATACACGAACTACCCGATTTAACTGCAATTTCCTACACAATCCGAAAACGGTGTTAAGTGCTGACGTGGCATGCCACGTGGCGGCTGACATGGCACGCCACATAGATTTTTTGTCACATCAGCATGCCACGTCATATTTTTTAAAAAATTCTGAAAAATATGAAAAAAAATCGATTTTTTTTTAAATTTAAAATAAAATAAATAAATAGAAAAATATATATATATATATATATATATATTCATATATATTCATATCTATATACAAATAAAAATATAAATATATATAC